CCTTCTGAGATCATACTCTTCAGGTTTCCCTTTCTACCTCTCATTCTTACTCTCCTTTGAAGATACCCATTCACTGCCTGTCCCTTCTATGTTTGTCATAGACCCTCCCCTTCCCTTACTTCCTCTAGGCAATCTCACTTACTTACGACTTCAATGGTAAGTTATACATAGTCAACCCTCATTATTCAAGGATTCCATAGAACTTATTTGTAATATCAAAATCAAAATTCATGGTGCTTGTGGTGAGTGGGGATCTGCATGCACACATCTCACAGGCACCTCAAAAGGAATTCATCCTCTCTACTCTCAAACATGTTTTTCCTCAGTGAGCATGCCCACCACCCTACTAGTTGTCTATATGGGGAACTCTTTACATCAACTCATTAGGTTCAGAATTCAGTGGTCCCTAAGGCAACGACAGATAAGACATTATTTGCTCAGCTATATTTGACCGAGGAAATTTATCTATTTTTAGGCTACTGATGGGTAAAAACACCACACAGGGACGCCTGGGTGGCTCAGTCGGTTAAGCGTCTGCCTTCAGCTCAGGTCATGATCCCAGGGTCCTGGGATCGAGTCCCGCATCGGGCTCCTTGTTCAGGTTCTGATTCTCTTATCCAACCATGTGTCACTTGTATATGCATGCAGGGTGGGAAGGGAAGGCAGATAAGGGGTGGGGAGCCACAGCCTAGCAGAGAGGATGAATGTCTTGTAGAAAGGATTTCAAGAGGCCATCTGGAGAAGACCATACAAAAAACACCCTAAATAAGCTCCCCTGCCTGCATAACATGTAAATCTCACATCTTACATGTTTATCTCTAAAGTACATGCCCATCAACTGTTTCTTATGACAAATGACAGTAGCACGGAATGATACTAAATCTTATTTATCTCACACAAAATACTTAAAAGCTGGTGCGCCTGGGTGGCTCAGTCAGTTAAGTGTTTGCCTTCAGCTCAGGTCATGATCCCAGGGTCCTGGAATTGAGGCCCGTATTGGGCTCCCTGCTTGGCAGGGAGCCTGCTTCTCCCTCTCCTTCTGCCTGCAGCTCCCCCCACTGCTTGTGCTCTCTCTGCATCAAATAAATAAATAAAATCTTTAAAAAGAAAATATTTAAAAGCTGTACATTTCACAGCCAATTGGAAGTGCTTCAATTAACTTTACTTCAATCACTTCAATACTATATATCAGCCTCTCAGAATCCTGTAAAAGAGGTTTTTTAAATATACATATATGCTTATTTATTACAAATATGATACATGCTCATAAGAAATGTCACTAGTTCCAAAGGATATACATCGAAAAGTAAAAAGATCCCCAATCCTTCATTCCCATTCTATAATTCAGGTTTACTTGTGTCTTCTTACAGATATTTCTTATATACATAAGCAGATATATAGATTTTTTTCTTTTTAACTATAAACAGAATCATATTATATACATTGTCCTGGGCCTTGCCTTTATCACCTAATAATACATTAAAGTTATCTTTCTGTGTGAGCATATCAGAGAATATTCTTTCAGTGTTTCCTATGTCAGTGATCATCACCTCTATCAGTTTGGGACAAGAAACTAGGTGTCATCCTTAACACCATTCATTCCCTGGGTCCAGTCCATTTCCAATTCCTGTTGCCTTTATCTCTTAATTATCTCTCAATTTACTTATATTTCTTTCTTCTCACAGTTACCACCCTAGTCCAGAGTAATCCAGTCCTTTGGATTATGTAATAATCTTTCACCAGACTCTTCACATCCACTATGGACTGACTATCTCCAAACCACACCACACCCAGAGTCCCAGTTTGGGAAGATGAAAAGTTCTGGAGATGGATGGTGCTGATGACTGCACAACAATATGAATGTCATTAATGTTACTGTACTGTACACATGGAAATGGTTAAAATGGTAAATTTTGTTATGTATGTTACCACAATAAATAAATAATGAAAAAAAAAACCACACCAGGTAGTGGCTTCCTATTATTCTTAAGGTCCCAAATCCTTAACATGGCCTATAAGGCCCCACCCTAATTCTTTCCAGGTTCATCTCATATAACTTCTTGTACTACAGCCTTCCCTTTTTAAAAAGCATTTATCTCAGTTTATAATCATGTATTATTAATGCAAATATCTAATTAAAGTCTATATTCGCACAAGTATACTATAAACTCCACAAGAGCAAGAACTGTCTTTTTGTTTACCACTTAGCATATGCCTGGCACATAGTAGGTCTTCAAAAAAAATTTACTAAATGTATGAAAAAAGGTCTACCTTGTTCCTTAAGAGTGGCAAATAATTCCACTTAATGGATGTCATAATTTCTTTTTCTTTCTTTCTTTTTTTTTGAGTGATAGTACAAAGTTTATTGAGTGATAAAGTACAAAGCTTCCAAAGAGGGAGGGGACCTGAGAGGGTTGCCCTGGATGTCATAATTTCTTTAGCAAATCCCAGAATGATAGCTATTTAACTTGTTTCCAGATTTTTGCTATCAAACAATGCTAATGAACACTTCTGTCAGTATATCTATGAATGTACTTAAATATAATTCTTTTTTTGTTTCAAGTTGTTATTTAAATTCTAGTTCGTTAACATATAGTGTAATACTGGTTTCAGGAACAGAATTAGTGATTCATCACTTATATAATACCCAGTGCTCATCACAAGTGCCCTTCTTAATCCCCATCACTCATTTTGCCCATCCCCCACTGACACCTCCCCTCCATCAACCCTCAGTTTGTTCTCCATAGTTAAGAGTCTTTTATGGTTTGCCTCCCATAATTTTTTTAAGTTTATTATTATTATTTTTTTAAATTAATCTCCATACCCATGTAGGGATTGAACTCACAACCCTGAGATCAAGAGTCACATGCTCTTCTGACTGAACCAGCCAGGTGCCCCTTAAATGTAATTCTCTTTTTTCTTTCTTTCTTTTTTTTTTTTAAGTAGACGCCATGCCCAGCATGAAGCCCAATGCAGGACTTGAAGTCATGACCCTGAAGTTAAGACCTGAGCTGAGATCAAGAGTTGGTGCCCCTAAATGTAATTCTTAAATGCAAAATTTCCGGTCAAATGAAAAGTGCATTTAAAATTTTAACTGGGACACCTGGGTGGTTCAGTGGGTTAAGTGTCTGCCTTCAGCTCAGGTCATGATCCCAGGACTCTGGGATGGAGTCTCACATTGGGCTCTTTGCTCTGTGGGGAACCTGCTTCTCCGCTCCTCCTGCTTGTGCTCTCTCTTTCTCTCTCACCCCTGACAAATAAATAAATAAATAAAATCTTTAAAACAAAATGTAAACCCCAAGTTTTAAAAAATAAAATAAAATAAAATTTTAACTGATATTTCCAAATTGCCTTCCTAAGAGTTTGCAATTTATACTCCAAGTAATCAACAATGTGTAAGAGTACCCATTTCCACGATACTCAACTTGTACAATCAAAATGAGCCTACTCTTTGGGATGAGGTTGGGGGAGGTTGTAGAGAACAGTGTTAGTTTTTATGTATGAGGGTTTTTTTCATATTTTAATATCATACCCAAAGTTTTAATTAAAAATTTAAGTTTATTATTCCTATAAAAGAAGTTTCAGGGACACCTGGGTGGCTCAGTCGGTTAAGCGTCTGCCTTCAGCTCAGGTCATGATCCCAGGGTCCTGGGATCGAGTCCCGCATCGGGCTCCTTGTTCCGCGGGGAGCCTGCTTCTCCCTCTGCCTCTCTCTCTCTATCTCTCATGAATAAATAAATAAAATCTTTAAAAAAAAAAAAAAAAAAAGAAGTTTCAGCAAATGAGTTAAGTAGACAAAGCTAAGAAATTAGGAAAATGTTTAGTTATTGACAGACTGTGGAAAAATTTGTGTATTTTAAAAACCATGAATTTTTGGGGCACCTGGGTGGTGCAGTTGGTTGGGCATCCAACTTTTGGTTTCGGTTTAGGTCATGATCCTAGGGTTGTGGGATTGAGCCCCTGTGTTGGGCTCCTTGCTCAGTGGGGAGTCTGCTTGAAATTCTCTCTCTCCCTCTGCCCCTCCTGTGTGCACATGCACTCGTGCTCTCTCATAAATAAAATCTTAAAAAAACCCCACATGTATTTATTTAACCTGTAGATTCTACAAATCACTTTTCCTGTCATACAAATTTTTCTCCTTTCTGAAGCTTCAGGCTATGTTTAAATCAATGGTACTGAGGCAGTACAAGGAGGAGAAAATCACAGTAAGAATATTCACACATAAGAAGATGTAAAAAGAAGGGGAAAATATCAACATTTTATATTAGACTAAATTTTTTTCTTGAAGATACTAACATTTTGGTCTAGTTCCTTCTGTATTTTTGTGTCCACACTTAATACATCTCATAGACTGCTTATATAATTATAAACTGCTTCTCACTAAACAGTATAGCATATACATTTCTTTCATGACTTTAAATTTTACCCTTTTTCTCCAGAGTGTCAAGTAGTAGTAAGAAAAAACACCTGTATGGTACCCCCTTTTCTCTACCTCTTCACTATGTTCTTAACTTCTTTGAGCTTCCATTTTCTGATCTGACAAATGAAGGCATTAATTTAAATGCCCTCTGTACAGTTAACAGTTAAAAGATTGAAGGGAAAATCCCTTTTAACTCTTTTAAGATTTTCTAGAACATACCAGGCCTGTATTTAAGAAAACAGACTCCTCTTCCCTCTGCCCTACCACTTAGTAAGTATTTCTTACTCAAAATAATTTGATTCTTGATAATTTGGGATTTTTAGATATTTCAGGATTAGTTTCTCATCAGAAGTGATCTATTTGTAGTGATTCCATATTATATATCAGAAATTCCTGTTTAAAATATAAAGAGAAAAAAATCACTAATTATATTTTTCTTATTAATTCTACTTTGAAGCAGAAGATGAAGGGATTAGTTTTTAGAGGATTTTCTTTTAATTGTCCTAATCAATGGGATTTCACATATAATAGGCTGTCAATTCTTTTCCACATCTAGAATTATAGAAACATGAGCTCTTACCTTAACTGGGAAGCTACATTTTCCAGTACGAACCCCTTCTTCATCTGTCTGCCACTGATGTGGACGACTGGCCTCTGGAACATAAACATCTTTCTTTCTCCTAAAACTTTGCCGTAGTTTGTTCATTTTAATTTTTACAACCTGCAGACAGAGTAGAAGAAATATGAAAAGTAATTATTACCTTCTCACATATTTAAACTTTGGATTACCATGCTGAGAAAAAACTAATGTCCCAAATGAAACATTTTGGTTTAATAGAAAATGAGCAACTAGTATCCCTCCTCTCAGAGTAACTCTAAGCTCAAACAAATCATTTCACATTTCAAAAAAACAACGATAATACTAGTTCTTATAAAACTATAACAACCTCTAAGATTTGAAGAGATGTTATTCGAAGAACTTTCAAGCATTTTAATTTTAATAATCCAATGAGTGTTCCTTCTGATTTACCCCTCAAATCCATTCTAACTCCTGAATAAGGAAATCTGTACATGTAGGCCAAATTATAGACTGCTAACAATTTCTGAAAACATTCTGAAAACTTCCATACTTACTAGGAAAAAACCATTCCTAAACACTAAAATTTAGGGATCTTTTGGCTTACTATTAGAAACATTAAACAAAGCAGGGACTATAACGTGTTTATAAAACATCTTTTATAAAAAGGAAGAAAATAAAGTTTCTTTTAAACATAAAGAAGAGGGAAAAAATAAAAATAAAAATAAAATAAACAAAGAAGAGGGGCACCTGGGTGGCTCAGTCTGTTAAGCGTCTGCCTTCAGCTCAGGTCATGATCCCAGGGTCCTGAGATAGAGCCCCATGTCAGACTCCTTGCTCAGTGGGGAGTCTGCTTCTCCCACTGCCTCTCCCCCTGCTTGTGCTCACTTGCTCTCGCAAATAAATACATACATACATACATACATAAATAAATAAATAAATAAATAAATAAATAAATAAATAAATAAATATCTTTTAAAAAATAAAAATAAACATAAAGAAGAAAAAGTTCTACTAGGATTAAATTATTCTAAGGAAAAAATTTCTTGCAAGTAGTATAACATCAGAATGTACTTTCATATCTAAAATCATCATAGAATGAAAGTAAACTAACAGCTTTCAATTATAAAGGTCCAAGTCTCACCATTAACTTTGTAAATTAAGGTATTAAACTATAGTCAATTTTTTGTTTTGTCACTGGAATAGGTACCTCTCTAATGCTTTCAAAGGTACAGTAGAAATCACAAATCCACAGGGAAGGAAGACTTAACTGATAAGAAACAACAGAACAATCAAGAACCAATGAATAAACATAATGAATGGTGTCCCTTTACAGAGCAGATCTCAAAATCTGAAACCACTACCTCTAGTTTTTTGTTAAGGAGCACAGCATTGGTCATTCTTTCCCTGAAGGGATTTAACCACCTCAACCAGCCTAAAAGAGATCTTAACTTTTGAAAATGACGTGACAAAGCACACAAAGGAAACATCCTTCTGTTAGGAGTGTTAAAAAGGAACGAATTAAACATTAATTCCCACATGACACCAATTAAAGACTTGAAAATCAAAGTTTGCATTGAGGAAAATAATTTTGTATCTTAAAATGCATGTCACAGCAGAACTATTACTAAATTAGCTAGTTTATACAGACAAGCCAATCTTACCACATACCTTCTTAAAAGGTAAAAATTCTGACAAACAAATGGCAATGTAAAAATCCCTGGATTTTCTAAAAATGAATTTATTCTCAAACCAAAATTGATTTATGGAGTATATGAAATAGGTATTAAATAATCAAACGACTGGACAAAAGGTAGTCCATTCCTTTCCCTTTAAGTAGATCACTCATTCCTAAACTATCTTAAGTAAGAGTCTACCTTAATCTAATAGATTTAAAAAAAATTCCATAACCTTCCCTGATAATACATCCTGTTATTACTTCTTCATATCACTTTAAAAATATACGCAAATACAAATATAAAAAAATTAAAAAGTACCCATATCCTTGCTCAAGTTGGCACTCTAAGAATCTTGAGGCAAAAAGCCCATGAAATTCCTTACTTCTTAATTTCTCTTAGTAGGGGGATAGCCCTACTAAGAGTCATCCCCGAATTCACTGTCTCTGACCAATAACTCTACTGCTTTTGCCTCCTTAGTATATCTTGATTTCATTCTCCCACCCACATCAGTTCTACTAACCTCAGACATTTTTGTGTAAATTATTGCAAAAGTCTATTACTTAATGGTTGCTTTGCTGCCAAGAAAGGTTCATTAATCTGTTCTCTTGACTAGTGCCAGAATGCTTTCTAAAACACACATCTGACCATGCAATTGCTCAGCTTAAAATCCTTAACTCACTTCACAACACTTTCAAGATAAAGTCCAAATTCCTCAACTTGGCAAAACACAGACGTTTTTCATCTGGCTTCACTCACCAATCCCTATTCACATGCTAAGCTCCAGCCATACTAAACTACTTACAGATCTCCAAACAAGGCATGCATGCCCTCTTTCAGAGCCTATTTATATGTTCTTCTCTCTGCCTAGAAAGACCTTTCCCTATTTATTTGCCTCTAGTTAAAGTCTACTCATCTTTGAAGTCAACTTGGGAGTCTTCAGGGAAGCCAGCATTTTTTCTGACAAGTTCCTAGAGCTGGCCTGGGTTAGGTCCTTTCATTTCATAGGCTTATGATTACTTCTTTTACTGTACTCATCAAGCCTTACAGCAATTTTCTATTTCCTTAATAGTAAACTCTATCTTATTTAAATACTACCCCTGCATTTTAACACAGGACCTCTCATATACACGGCACACTATAAAATTGAAGAACTAAAAGATAAAATAGAACCCCATCATATTTAGATAATATTTACTAGGTAGGATAAATGTAGCCACATATAAGACCAGAGAGAATCACTGGTGTTGGAAGGAGACTGCACATGTAACGGTAGTCCAGCGTCACATTGACAAAGGAACCACTTTGACAACTTCCCTTAAAGGAAGCCATACAACCTCTGTCTAAATAATTTTAGTACAAGTTTATTTGCTCTTTGGGCAGCTATTTATTGTTGTACATCCTACTGACCAATAAGAGAACAGAGTGAAAGTGTCAACTGACTTGACATCTAAATATCTTGTGACCTTCAGTACTAATATGGTTATCAGCATTTCTACAAAGAGTATTACATATCAGTGATTTTCAAACTATGCTTTAAGTAGCCCTAGGATTTTCATGGAGGAGACCCAGGGGCCACTGGCTGGACAAAAAGGGAAGGAAGTTAGAAGGTTAGACTCAACTTAGGAGGGACTTCAGGTCCCTGTCACAGCTTCATACGAACTCTATCTGATTCACGTATTGGGATTCCATATACGTTTAAGGAAAGGGTTTCGGGGCGCCTGGGTGGCTCAGATGGTTAAGCCTCTGCCTTCGGCTCAGGTCATGATCCCGGGGTCCTGGGATCGAGTCCCATATCAGGCTCCCTGCCCAGCGGGGAGTCTGCTTCTCCTTCTGCCCCTCCCCCTGCTCGTGCTCTCTCTCTCTCTCTGTATCTCTCTGTCCCAAATGAATAAAAGAAAAAGAAAGAAAAAAAAAAAAAAGGAAAGGGTTTCATGGCTGAAAATTTTTTGAAAATGAGTGATATAATCATAATAGTTCTAAAATGAACTTGGTAAAATGAAAATACGAATGATAATATCTTGCTTGCTACTTCTTAAAGGGTAATTACCAATGGCCTGTAAATAATCTAGTAATTAAAGTAAGAATTAACACATCAAGGGAGAGTCCAAACATTCTGTTTTCAAGTAATCTATATATAATGATTTTGCTCACAAAGACAAAAGAAATAACAAGAAAAAAATAGAAAATGTGTTAATTCAAAGTCACATTTACGACAGGCCCTCAATAAAGTTAAACTTTACTCCCAAATAAAGAAAACCACACCCCTTGACAAAGTCCTGGTTGAACACAGGTAAAGGATGTATTTTTGCCAGTTTAAAAACTGAGAACAAAAAATCTTACTTTGTCCTACAAAAAAGGAAAGAAAAGAAAAAAAAAAAAAAAGAAATGAAATCCCCATTCTGCTAGCTACATAACACTGTCAAATTCAGAAAATCTTTTCACAGTTCCCATACTCCTTAAATGCTCTGCCAATTTTAACACCATGATTCCAGCTCTCCTCTGTACACTTCTTTCCTCCTTGGCTCTCCCCACCACAATATCTCTATGCCTCTGATTTATCTTCAACATTTCTGTTGCTGATACCTCTGAGGGCTTCCTCTACTTTCTCCCACTGAGTATATTTCCCAAATATCAGTCCTCAATCTGTGCTCTCTTGTTTACACTATCACTCTTGGTGAAATAATCAATTCAAATTCAATTATTCAATTATTTCAATTATTGGGAAATCATTATTTCCCATAATACTTTTAAATCTTGCTCTTGTATTTAAATTTCTCTATTTGGGTGCATGGATGTTGCCTCAAATACATCAATTTAAAGTTAAATCATCAGCTCTTATCTCCCCTTAAGTCCTTAAGTCCTCCCCTTCTGTCCCAATTTGTTTGGGTCAGTAAAAATAGAACTTACTATGTGATGGGCCCTAATGCAGATGCTAGTGGATACAGAAATAAGACAACTTGGCTTTAGGTGGCTCTCTCCCCTCATAAAAGGTAATTTCTGTACAATATGGTGAATGTAATAATAGCACTATAGTGTTACCGAAGCACAGTTTGGGTTCAGGAAACATTTCCTATAGGAGATATCGCCCGACTTAACTTTTAAAGGAAGCCACATATAGTAGGAGGGAAAAAATATTCCAGGTGGAGGCAACAGCATCAACAAATGTGTAGATGCAGGAAATTAAATGCTGGACAGCAATGCAAAAAGAGTGCAGACAAGGATCAGGTGCTGATTTTATCCTACAGACAACCAGAAGCCACTAAAAGGTTTTACACACATCAGTGTCAGAGTTGCAATACAGTTACATTACTCTGGTGGCAGTATGGAAAACAAATCTGAGGGCAAAAGACTATAGATGAGTTAGAAGGCATTTTAAATAGTCTAGGCAAGTTATGACAAGAGCTTGAGCTAGGGCAGTGGTGTAGGGAGAAAAAAGAGGAGTAAAGAAAAGTTTAAAAGTAAGAG